ACAGAATGAACCGGAGCTTGGATTTCGTCTGTATTTTATTAGGGTTAAGATTGTTGTGAATGTGGGTTCATTTGTGCTAATTAAACTGATTTTTTGGCAACCGACTAAGGCACATTTCTCTTTCTCTTCACTTTCAGGCACGATGAATGTCCAGATTCGCTTGGTATGCAGCAACGAGACCCAGAGTACCAGCACCATTTCCAGTGTAAGTAGGAGCTCAACTGCTCATCCGGTAAAGCAACAAACATAACATCTCAGCGGCTTATCCGCGCCTTCCGCAAAGGATTACAGCACAAAGTGCGGCATACTTTACCGAGTCCTGCCAAATGCGCATCAAAGAAAACGCGGGCGGTGCCCTAAACAACAATGGAAACAGATCCTGTACACTTTGCATATATCTAAGTAGATATATATATTCTCTGTGCTTTTTTTTCTTGTGCTGTGCTGTGTCTTGGTGCTCCTTTTCTCAAAGTCTTGCCACAAGGCAAGGGCCTGGGCTTCAAAGTGAAAATGTAAGAAATATGTGTGCGGAAAAGGGCAACCAGGGACCAACTGAGGGGAGGAATGGAGCAGGTTCTGGCTGGAAAGCAAAACGTGGCAGGTGTCCTTTGTTATGCTTACCACTTGGCAATCGGCTTTGCCGTGCTCCTACTCAGGCTTGTACTGCGGCTCCAGGGTCCTGCAGCTGCTCCTGCAGTCCCTTTTTTGCCCCCCGTCCCAGCGGGAGTCCGTGCTGCTTTGTGCTTTGCGACCTCGATGTCATTTCCTTTTTTGTTTTTGCGGTTCGCTTTGCATGTCTTTCCTCTTGTCTATTGCTTTCGCATAGCTCTTACCCTCGTTGCCTTGGGTGGGGCTTTTGTTTCTTTGGCTCGCCGGTTTGCGGGCTGTTCTGGGTGTTGGGTGTTGGGTGTTGCCGCCGCCGCCTAAGCCTTTGTTTCCATAACAATCGCAGCAGTCTGAAATGCAGATGGCCAACAGATCAGGCAGACTTTGCTTCGCCTTGGCGTTGCTTCCAATTTATTGGCCAGGCGGCTGTTGCTGCTGCTGTGACCTGCTGGCCTCCTGCTGATCTTTGGGCGTGCTATTAGCAAATGATTCTGATGCCAGGAGTTTAAATTTAATTACAAACCAAGCAGCAGCCTCGTCTCCTGCACAGGCACACATATACATATGTATGTTCGTACTTGTAATATAATTAAGTTGTATTCGCCTGCAGCTCTTTGACTAATGGCCATGGCTATGACTCTGACTTTGGTGTGGTGTGGTCCTGCTGCTGCTGTTGCTGCCAGGAAGGACCTTTAGCATCATTAGCATGCTCATGAGTGTGTGTGCATATGCACATTGCTGTGGGTGCCAGAGTGCTCTGAAAGTTCTCTCTTTAAGCTAATTAATATTTGTTTGTGTTGCTTATACGACAATTAACCGCAGGTACCATGAGCCCATGGCCCTCTGCCAGGTACAATGCATCGCAATTAGTGGGCAAAGGGCCCCAGCGCGTTGCATTATAGCCAGTTTCCCGAAAAAAGTTTCTCAATTAGTGCTTGAGGTTGCCACGGACTCCCCATGTACCCGTACCCACCTGTGCACCCATTCAGCCCATATCATCTAACCGCATTGTATCCCATTACCCCCAACAATTGCCAGAGGATTCGGTGCTGATTGAAAACATTTGCCAGAATGCCAGACTACACAGACTACTCGACTACCAGACTACCAGAGTGCCAGTGTGCCAGTGTGCCAGAGTATTTTGTAGGTCGATTGTTTTATATTTCGCTCAGAGAGCGACACATTGCCTCCCGTCGATTGGGTGCCACAGTCGTCTCTCGCTCTCTGTGCCTTCTGTTTGGTTTCGATTTTGCATTTGTGGCACCCAGGCAATTGACCCAAATTTAAACCAAGCTGCAAGCTGTTTGCCACCTCTGACAAACATTTCCAAATCGAATTGCCAACGGGCCGAGGGTGTCTGCTTCCAAATGCAATGTCTGTCAATGAGGGGGGTGCTGCACATCCACAGCCATACCCACAGGCTCATCCACTGTGTCTGTTGCTGCTGCTACTGCTTGAATCTGTGCTAATTCTGTTTGAATATTATTTGTTGCTTACTGGAAGCTGGCTAATTGATCGGACTAAATCAACAGGTTAAGCAGAACATGCTGAAACTTCTGGCCAGCATTCAAAGAAGGAAGTGGGGGAGAAAAACTAAACTAAAACAAAAACATCACCCCCGAAGCAACACGCCCAACACGTTTTAATCCTTGAACTGTAGAGCGGAAAATAACACTCTCTAGGATATGTACGAGTATATTCCATGAACGACAACTTTTGGCCAGCAACAACAACAGCAACTACAACGGAAAAATATAAGGCAACATGGCGACGGCGCTGTAGGAAAATTAGCGATTCAATGAAATGGGATTTTAAATGGCTGCAAACTTTTTAATGCCTCGTCGTTTGGAGGGAGCTCCTATGCTCCACTGCCTCACCATCCGTTTCTCCTCTTGGACATGTTCGTGTCTGGCGCGGCGCCTCGCCGTGACGGGAAAGTTTCCCCCAGTTGGTGGCTGGGCTGCCTGGCTGGCTGTCTGACGAGCGGGCGCTGTTTGGCTCGCTGTAGTTTTTGCCACTTGCAGTTGCCAGTTGCAGCTGCAGTTTCGGGCCGCAAAACTTTTTAAATTATGCGCACATTTGCCGTTTCATTCTGCCCGGTGGAGCGCTGGTCGCGTCGGAAATTGTCTTTGGGTGAAAGTGTTACAACAGGACGAGGAGACGTAGAGGGGGAGAGCTTTGGGTGGCCGGAAACAAGTTGCGAGCAGTTGTTGCGCCACAAATTTGCACCAGGGTGGCTGGGGCGTCCACTCGTATTTTACTTGCGAATTTATGCCCTCCTCTATATCAATTTATTTATTTATTTTCTTTTGCACTTAATGAAGAAAGTTTCTAATTACAAGAATCCGTTCGCTCTCTTGCAGGACCAGCAATGCAATTTGCTTTATGTACAGCGCACGCCGAGCATCTGCCAGTTCCTGGCCCTCAGTGTGCCCCAGCAGGATGCCGGAGGTGGCAGCAGCAGCAGCAGCAGTGGCAGTGGCAGCTCCAGCAGTAGTTCCACCACCACCAGCACCACGACACAGGCATCGCCAGCGGGTAAGCCAACCAAGGCGGCAGCTATCACGCCAGCAGCCACGTCAGCCACGTCGTCGACAACGACAACAACTGCTAGCCCCGAGACGGCGGCTGCTCCCATCGTGCCAACGGCCTCCGTGGGCAGTAAGTGCAACAGAACTGCTGTCCAACAGATCTCCGTCTGGCATCAGTCACTTGTAACGCTTATGTTTCCATTTTACAGCCATCCTGGCGGCCATTCTGTCGGTGACATTCTGTGTGACGTGCCTGGGACTGTTCGCCTTTTCGCCGGCGCGAAGGCATCGCGTGCGTCGCCTCTTCCGGCGCAGCAGCTCCGCCGTCAGATATTCCAGAGTAAGTGAATGGCCCTAGCTGTGGCAGCAGCACTCAAAGAGCTAATGGTCCCCGCCCCCCTCGCCTGCAGGTACAGTCGAACGAGGAGGCCAATCTACTACTGGAGCCCAATGGCGAGTTCACCGAAAGCGATGATGACATGCTGCTCTAGGTGGCATCCATGGCAACACGTCTTCGTCATTAAATGTGGTATAGGGTGGCAGACACAAAGAACGAGTACTTGGAGACATGCAGCAGCAGCCCAAAGTGCAGAAAATTGAACACCAAAGACATAACTGAAACTGGAACTGATTGTGAGCTAATAACAAAAACAGAAAACAGAAACTGTAGTAAACAAATGTAGGGATAAAACATAAATAAGATTGAACAGATGTGAAGATGTGTGGAGAAGAGAACTGCTAACGGATGTTGATATATAAAATTGTACAATACGCATAGGCTACAACGACAACAAACAAAACCCAAACCCAATTAATGGTCCTATATATATATATATAAATTATATATTTTATATACACTTCATATAAACAAGAAGAATCCCCCCTATCCAAATCCCCAAACCGTACCCCTTTAGCTATAGTTAACCCAAAGATTTGCATGGGACAATTGCTTATGAATTTTAATAGTATTTTACGCTGGAAGTTCTGCTCTTATGCGGTCATTTACGTGTACTTAAACCACATCGTATTTAAACCCTTTTTTTGTAACGTTGATGGAATTAATTCCTGTTTTTATGTTTTGTGTTTATTTTTGTTTTTAAGATTAAGGTCGATAATATATTAATATTTGCGCAATTTTATTTGAACGTGCATACAAATATATTGCAAAATTGAATAATATATGAAAGAAGATGTTGTTTAAGGCGGTATATTTTTTGGATTTTGTGTGCGTTGTCTTCCAGCTATTATCTTGGTAAGTAGAACTCTCTAACTTCATATTTTTGCACACCAGCTAAAAAATCGAAATATTCAGCATTTCAACATAAAATCTGACTTCAATGGAGACTTCGGCTAAAATCAGACTCACTTCGAATACTCCCAAAAACTTGATCAACAATTGTTTAATTTTTAAAATATATTTTATTTACGTTGTATGTGTGTTTGTAAGTGTTTTTCATATACAATCAGATTTAGATTCATACACAAATATGCATACAGAATGTGATGTGATGTGATGTGATGCATATAGTTGGAGAGTCTGCACAAATGTTGTAGGTACCTTAGGCAATTACATATTGTATCGGTAGAGACAATCTACGTGTAGCTTAGATGGTAGTATATACTCGGTACTATATTTAAGCTTAATTACATTTTCGTATCATAAACGCTATCGTGTGTCCTGTGTATGAAATGAAGAGTCTGTCCTTGCGATGTGTGTGATAATGATAGGAGACAGTACAGTATCTATATCTTATGCATATATAGCGTCGCTTAAATGGTCATGACGAGCTTAGATGATGGGGGGAATATACTCTCTCGTACGATGTATGTATGTACGCATAGTATTTATAATTGATATTTGCGATAGAGGAGAATCTTGTGCAATACATTTGCTTGTTGGATTTTGGTTTTTGTTTTTTTGCTTGGAAAAGTAGATACAGAAATTCTCATATTCAGCGTATGTACAGTAGTGGGTAGTTTTATGGTGTATTTGCAATCGAATATGTATGAGGATATGAGTGTGTACGCGTAAGGCTACCATTTACTTAGGGCTATAGAATTCATACATACATACATTAAAGGCAATTTGTATTTCTCATTTTCTATTTTCTGTGTTGCTGTTGCTGTTCTTCGCAATTAAGGTGTTAGATCTACAATATTTGGATACGTCATATGTGTTGGTTTTTGTGTCAATAAGTTGGTTGCTTGCTCAAATTAAAGCTCGATTTGGACTCTCATTGAGATTCGTTTAGTGTTGAAAATATATACGTAATAAAGGCAGAGGGGGCAGCTTACAATGATGAATTAACAATAATTTAAATGTACAAAATAATCACTAAATAATTGAGATTTGTTTATGTTCTACAAGAGTCTGCACAGGGCCTAGGCGCTAAGCTTACAAATAACACTTAACAAAGAAAGAGAGAGGGAGAGCAGCTAGAGGGAGATTCATTTACCATTGCTTATTATAGGGATCTCTTTTGTTTACCTCCTCTCCTTTCTCCTCTCAACACAAGGCCACATGAAATATTGAAAATTGAAATTTTCATAAACTTCCGCTCTCCCCGCCTGTCGGGGAGATATTTAAAACTAGGAAGGGAGGGATGGAGCTGAAAACTTGACCAAAACATGCAGAAATCAATCATTTTCTATAGACTTTTTACATTCAGCTGTGGTGGATGCTCTCTGTGGCTGTGGCTGTGGCGGTTGCTCTGGCTCTAACATCCATCATTCTTCAACGGAACAATAGCTCATCGTCGGGCTCGAACTGAAATAGTTCCGCCTTCTCCCAGTCCTATACATCGCTCTGCTTGGCATTCGTGTTGATGATGAAGGCCCCGTTGATGTGGCCATTGGCATGCGATTTGCCATTGTGTGGCGTGTAGAGATTCGTCAGGCCATTCTTGCCATTGGCAATCATGATGGCCGTGTGGGGCGTGCCGCCATTCAGCTGTGCCACCAGCGGATTCTTGGTGGCCTCCGCCGGCGGTGTGGTCAGCGGCGGCGTCACCGGGGAGGGTTTGATCAGCTCCAGCTTGTCGTCCGTGGAGCCCTTCAGCGGTGACTTGACCAGCGCTCCGTTGCCCACATGTCCGAGTGGCTTGCGATGGGGCAGGGCAAAGCGCAGCTTATCCCAGAACCACGGATCGCCCCACTTCAGGTAGGTGTTCATCTTGAGGTACGCCTTCAGCTCCTCGTCCAGCTTCTCCACGTCTCCGATGTCCGAGTAGATGACCACAATGATGCGGGCACGTCCCTCGTTCAGCGCCGCTCTATGTGCCGCCCGGAACTCCATGCGCGCCCACTCCGACTCGATGAAGTTCTGACTCAGCACGATGATAGTGCGTCTGGAGTCTGCTACAGAGCGCACAATATTCTCGGGAATAAAGCCACCGACCAGCCAGTCACGTTCGTGCACGCAGAGCTGGAACTTTTGGGGTCCGTGCTCCAGCTGAGGCACGAGGTACTGCTCGATGAAGCTTTGATCTTTGTGGGAGTACGAGATGAAGGCATCGAACTTCTTGTCCTTGTCCAGCTCCTCCTCGGTGACGAACCACAGGAACATGTTGTGCGCGTACAGCCAGATCTTGATCTCCGTTTGGTATTTGTAGTAGAGAGCGGCAGTGATGCCAGCCAGGAATCCAGCCAGCGAGATGACCACAGCCATCGCAATGAAGACACCCTTCTCCTCCGGACAAATGTCGTTTGTCGAGAGCTCCGCCATTCGAGTGGGCGTCTCTGCGTCCATGCACAGCATCTCACCGCGATCCGCTATCCTCTCGTAGTTGCTCTGCGTGAAGAGCAGCAGTGGCTTGGTCTCGCAGTTGCAGATCCACGGATTGCCCGAGAGCATCAGCGAGCGTCTGGGCATCGTGCGATTGAGGAAGCCCAGCACAGTGGTGTTCAGTGCCTGCAGATGGTTGCGCCGCACATCGAGATGCTTCAAGTTGGGCGGCAGTCGGTCCACGTCGATGTGGGTGAGATTGTTGCCAGCCAAATGGAGGCTCGTCACGTTCTCGTAGCCGGGAGAGCGGGCTGGAGGCAGGCTGAGCAGCGTATTGTTGTCCAGATGGAGTTCCATGATGTGCAGATTGTCGTAGAGGGTGGGCAGCTCTGGCACCTGGGTGAGATTGCCCTGATGGCACTTGATGACCAGCGCCTTGTCGAAGGTGCGCACCCAGCATCGGCAGCCGCGCGGACACTGCCGCTGGCCGGGCTCCTCTGCACTGCCGATGGGACAGATGAGTTCCTTCGGCGGCACCATACGCACTGGCAGATCCATCAGGTTGTGCGGCTGACTGCAGGTGAGTCGATCAGTGTCGAACTTGAACTGTTTCGCGTACTCCGGCACATGGGCGCCCCGCACCAGCTGCACGAACCACAGCAAGGTGCAGTCACAGATCAGAGGATTATTGTTTAGGTCCATGCGCAGGACACTCGTGGACATCTCCCCATCGGGCATCACTGGCAGCTGCGGATAAAAGTTGATTCTGCTGATCTGGTTGTGGGTGATGTTCACAAACAGATTGGACCTCGACAGAAACTGCAGGTCCTCGTAGATCAGGGAGCTAATGTTGTTGTAGCTCAGATCCAGCTCCTGGAGATTGATCAGATTGAAGTTCCAGTCGCGATAGATGAACATGATCGAGTTGTTGCGCAGATTGAGGGTCTGCAGGCTGGCCAAGTGACTGAAGGGGGAGTTCAGTTGCTCCTGGACTATGCTGTCGAGCAGCGGCTGCTGCAAGTCAATCAGATTATGCTCCATGCTGATGTGCATCAGTCCCGTGTTGGCCGCAAAGGCATTGCCGGCAATGGTTTTCACGAGATTGTTATTCATATTGAGAGTTTCCAGTTTTTCCAGCTTGCTGAATATGTCACTATGGAGAGAATGAGAGGAAGACAGGCAGAAATGTGATGAGTGGAGGAGTAAAGCGGAAACCTTTTGCTTGAACACCCACCTGCTTATGCCTGAGAGCATATTCTCAGCCAGATTTAAATCCACCAACTTCGTTGTGTGCTCAAAGAACGTATCCGGCAGATAAGTCAATTTATTGTTGCTTAAATCCAGACTCAAAAGGTTCGTCTGGTGCTCTAGGAGCTGAGCTGGCAGTGTACTCAAATAGTTATCCCTCAGCGAGATGTTTGTGATCTCCGTGGACTGCTCGAAGAGGTCACTGGGCAGTGTCTCTAGATCGCAGCGAAGGAGCAGAACCCTAAGCTCTGGCTGATTGGCAAACAGTCGAGCGGGAAGCGTGGACAGTGGCACACGATTGTTCAGCAGACGCACCTGCCTGAGCTGCTTGTTGTGCTCGAAGAGGCCCTCGGGCAGCGAACGGAAGTGATTCGCACTCAGATTGATCTCCGTGAGATTCACGAGCAGCGAGAAGACATCGTGGGGCAGCTGCTCAATGCCGTTGGCATGCAGATCCACATCCACCACAGAGCTGGCGCCCTCAAAGTCGTGCTTCGTCAGGTTGTGCAGCTGATTGCTCCACAGATTCAAGTGCCGCAGCTTGGGCATCCGACTGAACACGCCATGTGGCAGGTGCTTCAGGCCATTGCTGCCCAGTTCGAGCGACTCGAGATTCTCCAGGTTGTCAAACAGATGCGCTGGCAGTTCCACAATATTCGCCCGAAGATCGAGCCAACTGAGGTTCCGCAGATCTGCGAGAAAGTCCGCAGGAATGTACGTGAACCGCCGAGAGGTAAACCGCAGTCGCTTCAGGTTCTGCAGGTGATCCAAGTGCCGACGCGTGATGTTCACCCCCAGATTGTCGCTCTCAAAGATGAGCATCTTGGGGCTGCGGATGCCCAGGTGCTCCAGTATGCCCGCAATCGGTGTGTGTCCGGGCAATGGGCAGCGCTGGATCTGCACCCGTTCGATCTCGCCGATATTCAGTTGCGGCAGCTGTTTGTACTCTTTCGCATCCGTCAGATTGCACTCGATCTGGACATTCGAATTGGGCCGAATGGCCAGCCGGAACTTCGGGTACACATTGTAGGCATTCGCGGGGCAGTAGATCTCGTACTCGGCCATCGATGGGGCACACTGGCAGGACGAACTGACGCTCAGTTCGTTGCACTCATCCCGTCCGAAGGCCGTCTCGCCGGTCTGCCACTGCAACAGCTGCAGCAGCACCACCAGCAGCAGCTTTAATGCCGCTCTCAGTCGACTCATGACGACAATGATGATGATGCTGAAGGTTTGTCTCTATGGAATTGCTGTGCTTGCTGCAAGTAGAAAGGGGGTAAGGAAGAGCACATAATTAGCAAAGAAGTAAATGTAATTGGAGCTCTAATTAATAACTGTCAAGTTTTTGATTTAAACTCTAGGAATGAGGCACACAGCGAGGGACATTTGTCATCATCATAATGACACGACAGCCGTAACGAGCATTCGAAATGTAATGACAAGCCAGCCAGGACTGACTGAGCGCCAGGACGACTTTAAGTTAATTATATGGCACAATGAGTAAGAGCAAAAAATAAAACGCAATTTAAATGAAAATGTTGGTTCTTTGGTAAATGAATTTATTTATGTGCATATGTATGAATGTATGCATGAGTAAACCCCGCTCATTAGGTTGCTCTGCTAAAGTCTGTTCAAAATGTCGCTTAATAAAAAGACAGTTAATTAAGCGCGCGAGTCAGAATTTTTGACAATCCAGCAAAAATATTTCATTAGCAGCACACACGCACACAGCCATGTGTGCGCCTCATCCCACCTCCTTGCCGAAAAATGAATTCAATTTAAATGTAGTGTACATTTGGGAGCTGCTAAAGCCTTTGGAGTCTCGTTGTGCTGGGCCATTACGTGCAAACACACACACACAGGCATACAGGAACACAAGCAAACAGCAAACAGTGCGCCGTGTCACAGCTCCAAAGCGACACCTAGCGGCAACAGCACGCATTAGAGATGCGCACTTTGTGCAGGTTCGTGAGCGAACTGAATAGAACACCAGACACGAACTTGGATAAATATAGCTGCGGTATATCCTAAATGTGAATTATTTTCAGATTTTCAGACTAAAAATCATTTTTAAAATATTTTCTCAAAACCAAAATGAATTTTCCTGCACCCACAGAAACGCTGTCATCACTCACGATGAATCTCTAGACTTGCTTTCACATCCACTGTGCGTGCGGCAAGCAATGTTGCATTTCATGGCTGGCTCACCTCGCAACCACGCCCCACTCCTGTACGCCCGTAACCCTTTCTACCTGCATACCTCCTCCCCCTTACTCTCCCTCCAACCGTGCGGTGTAATTACGGTCAGAGAGTGTATAAAATGTTGTAAAGCTTTCGGATGCTTTTTCTACTACGAGTGTATGTACATCTTATCCGTACAGTCCGCTCTGTCAGCCCGTTGTACCGTTCTGCCGTGTGATGTTCGTGCTGCTGTTTGTGTATCCTGGCATCCTCGTATGCATATTGTCCGTATGGCCACTCAACCGCTCTTTGTGCATTTAATGAATTTGTCATGCACTCGAGTGCTGCATAATACGAGATTTTGTTTAAAGCTTCGAGATCAACTTGAGCGACAGACAGGACGAGGACTAGGAGTTTCTGTCATCTCTGTCTTTGTACCCTTCAAAGTGTGTTCCACCCCCTTACCAGCTCTTTCAGATGCTGACAATCTAATTGTGCCCATTACGAACAATTTGAAAGGAATTCAATTAAAAGTTTTTCGGCTGTTGGCTGCCTTCTTGCCCGTCTGTCACTTTACTTTAGGCCATAGAAAGGGAACTTTAGGCCATCTATTGCAACAACCCGAACGGAAAAAAGTTCTCTCTGCCCGCTCCGGGAGGCTTTTGAATGAAATTTTGATAAGGCTATTTAATTATGCGCGCCGTAATTTGATTTCCAAATTGGTGACTTTTCCATTAATTAGAGGGGCCAACAATGATGAAATTTACAGTGCCGCCTCTGGCTACTGTCACTGGGCTGCTCGGCGCTGGGGGACTGGAAAATCATATTGATTTTCCTGCCTTTCGCTTTGTTAACTTGATAAAGTGGATAAGCCAGGCCTGGACAGCGACAAAAACATCTTTTGGCTATTTAAAAATTTGTTTTGTTTTTGCTATAGAGAAAATAATTTGTTCAAGTTGATGGACACATTCCTTTCATTTTGTTTCACACATAAATTCTATGAACATATTTCTCTTATTTATTTTATCAAATATTTTTCCATCCAAGGTATGGTGGAAAGTTTGATAGTTGTATATCCGATATTCGATATGAAAATCTCTGTTCCCCATGCGATATCGAGCTCGAACAATTCTGCAAATCCTTAAGCTGTTATGCGGAGGCAGAGGCACGTCTGGCTGCAGCAGCATAAGCATCAGCATCGGCATCAGGAGTTCATTTTGAGCTCAACACCTTGTTCTAGGGCCATGGCTTGTGGCACTGCTCTCCTATTTGTGTAGCCAGCTTCAATTTCGCATAAAACTTTAAGCACTTTTCACCCAATGAGGCAGCCAACCTCAGCTGTGTTTTGCCTTTTAAATTTCTTATCTTAACTGGCTTCGGTTTTTTCCATTCAGCCATGGCAAGCCAAGAAATCGAGTCAGCCACATCGACCGTACTGCCCAGACCTTCTTAGCCAAGTTGGCTATTGTTGTGTTCTGTGTGTTGGCTTAGTGCCTTAGTTGCTGTTGCTGTTCTTTTGCCAAGATTTTAAACATTTATATTCACTTAGGAAAATTACTTTTCGCTTTTATGCCACGCTGGCAGTGTAAATATCCTGCAACGAGCTGGAACCTGGCTTCAAGCCACACTCACATCCACATTGATATCCCGAACTCGTTTGTTTATGCAATCTAATCTGTGGGCGGGCGAAAGAAGGTGTAGGAAATCTTTGTTTGCTGACAGCTTGCCTCAAGCGGAACGCTTGCGGCAAAGTGTCATTCGATCTGGAGGAACAATCAAGACTTCAAGTGTTTTTCTACTCCTACTCGTATTCCTTCCACTCCCACTCTTCGGGATGTCCTCAAAATTAATTGTATTCCTTGTGCTAAGCCTGCTTTAGCCATTAAAAATAATTGTTAATTTTCCGCATGCCTTGAAAATGCTTTTGGAAAATTATGAAGCCACCTTTCCTGCCGCGGCGTGGCGTGGCGTGGCGTTGCGCTCGATTAAAAAGGTTTGTCGTTTTTAATTAGACGCTCGCTCGGTGTTCCAGGTGTCGTTAATAAAGGTTAACAAAGTTTTCCATCCCAGCCGCTCAGATTTTTCACACATTTTCACCCACACACGCTGAGAGTAACCTCAATATTACACCCACACACACAAATAGCATTCCTCAAGCTTGGTTCTCATTCCCGTCGCAGAGATTCACAGACATTCCAGTTGAGTGCGCATTTTTGCACTCTCATGGCCCCCCTCCCGCGCATCCGTTTCCGGTATGTAACGGTACTAAATTCATTAGGCACACTAAATTACAACCACAGGCATGCTACGCCACAGTGTGTGGCATGATGATGTTGCCTGCCACCAAAGCAGCTGCCTCGAGGAGCCTCTCGCCACAGCGAAGAAGTCTCCCATTGAGTGGAGACTAGAGCATGCTGTAGCCTGGTTTGGGTATCCTTTTCCTGTTACCTTGAATTTTTATTGCCCACCCAAGGAGTGTACCTACTATGTACGAAAGAGTACCCACAATGTAAGCCTTCACTGGAGCGGGAATGTGTGCCATTTAATAGTCGTGTGTGGTGGTACCGCCCGCAGCTTGCTCTTGAAAATTGGCTTTCGGGATGCCTGCCGCAGTGAGACAGAGAGAGAAGGATTTGATGCGTCTTATTGCACGGTGGCCCCATTGCCACATTTAATGGTGAACTTTTCTTAATGCCTGCAGAGTCGGGGATTAAGGCAGTGCCAAAGCGTTTTTAATGGCGTTGACATATTGTTCCGTTGCTTAAATGAGAAATTTCCAAAAAAAAAAACAAAAACAAAAACAAAAAACAGCAGCAGCAGAAGTAGCACTCGTGGCAGCCATGAAAGTGCCACACATTTACTTGTATACGCACTCGCACACACACAGAAACATTCATCAATCAACATGACTAATTACTACAATTTCTGCCAAACGGCAGCAGCAGCAGCAGGAGCGACAGCGACAGCGACAGCAGCAGGAGACTCCTGTCGTCTTGCCTGCCACTCTGGGGGTAAAGAGAGAGCTCAAGAGAGAGCGAGAGAGAGAAAGAGAGCAAAAGAAAATCGTACAAGTTGTTTAACAATTTCTTATTAAAAACTTACAAATGCTTGGAGAGCGGAAAGTTCTTACACGCATCGTGAGGGTAAGCTCTTGGCCCACAACTGTGGTTTTTTGTATCTTATTGCAGCAGAAATGTTTTCCCTTTTCCCCCCTTCGTCCCTTTCATGGCAAAAGGGATGTGTGTGTGTGTGTGTGTGTGCTGGTGCTGCTGCTTGTTTGCCAAAGGATTTCAATTCCCCCAAAAACTTTTGCAAGTCTTTCGGCGTCTCCTTCCCCACACATCTCTAACGTCTCCCATGTTTCTGGTTTTCAGACATCGTCCGCCCTCAGCCCTCAGCATAAACACTCTCGATGCACGGAAGGCAGCTGCGAGACATGTTTATATAGCCAGCTATTGCTCCGTAGTATTGGGTTGGGCTTGAATGCATTGGCAACCAAAGCTCTGGGTAAACATCTGTGCTACGTTGATGGAAATGTGTGGGTGGTTGGTTGGTTGGTGTGGTATGGGTCCTTCTAAGCTGGTCTTAATATTGGAAATAGTTCAATATGTGATGGGTCATGTTGCAACTACAGTGGCAGTGCAACTAGCTACAAATGCAGTGGTCGGGCCACTCAAATGCCAGGCAGCAGCACACTTAAATGCCATGCAGCACATACAACCTCAAGGCACTAGATGCGAATGCAGAGAAACATTCCATTCGATTGAGTTTGAGGGTTACGAGAGTCCAGAGTCCAGAGCCCAGCATGTGGTGTTCTACTCCTGAAACTTTAACCGAAAAAGGTAAAGCCCTTCCAGCTAATTATGCGCCAGAAATCGCATCCGAAATGTTGAAGCCTCTTGAAATGAATTCATTAAATCCTGCATTCATTATTTATGGCTTACACTTTCTGCAGAATTTTATGCTTAAGCGTAAAGCGCATTCCACAGAACACAAGACAGGCAGACTGGCAGACGGAGAGACGAGATGAGAACTCTGGAAGCGCTACAGACAAAGTGAAACAAGAAAGGAAATCGGG